GTGCGTGTCGCGTGTGTGCGTTGTGCGGTGCGTGTGCGTGATGCGTGTGCGTGTGTGCGGTGTGCGTGTGCGCGCGCGCGGCGCGTGTGCGGTGGTGTGTGTGTGTGTGTGTGCTGTGTGTGTGTGTGTGTGCTGTGCTGTGATGTGTGTGTTGTCACGCGTGATTGTGGGTTTTTGGGGGTGTGGGCTTCGTGCGGTGCCGTGCGTGGCGTGATTTGTGCGTGTGTGTGTGTGTGTGTGTGTGTGTGTGTTGAGAGAGTGTGTAATTGTGTGTGTTGTGTGTGTGTGTGTGTGTTGTGTGTGTGTGTGTGTGTGTGTGTGTTGTGTGTGTGTGTAATTGTGTGTGGTGTGTGTGTGTGGTGTGTGTGGTGTGTGTGTGTGTGTGTAATTGTGTGTGTTGTGTGTGTGTGTGTGTGTGTGTGTGTGTGTTGTGCGTGTGTGTGTGTGTAATTGTGTGTGTGTGTGCCGTGTGTGTGTGCGTGGCGTGTGCGTGTGGCGTGTGTGTGTGTGTGTAGTGTTGTGGTGTGTGTGTGGTGTGCTGTGCGTGTGTGTTGTGTGTTGTGTGTGGTGTGCACGCGTGATTGTGTGTGTGGGCATTCCGTGCGTGCCGTGCGCTGCGTGATTTGTGCGTGCGTGTGTGTGTGTGTTGTGTGTGTGTGTGTGTGTGTGTGTGTGAGTGTGTTAATTGTGTGTGTGTGCGTGTGTGTTGGGTGCTGTGCGTTGTGTGTGTGTGTGTGTGTGTGTGTGTGGTGTGTGTGTGTGGTGTGTAATTGGTCGTGTTGTGCGTGTGTGTGTGTGCGCGTGTGGTGTGTGTGTGTGTTGTGTGTGTGTGTGTAATTGTGTGTGTGTGTGTGTGTGTGGCTGTGTGTGTGTGTGTAATTGTGTGGTGTGTGTTGTGTGTGTGTGTTTGTGTGTGTGTCGTGTGTGTGCTGTGTGTGGTGATGTGTGTGTAATTGTGCGTGTGTGTGTGTGTGTGTGTGTGTGTGGGTGTGTGTGTGTGTAATTGTTGTGTGTGTGTGTGTGTGTGTGTGTGTGTGTGTGTTGTGTGGTTGTGTGTAGTGTGTGTGTTGTAATTGTGTGTGTCGGTGTGTGTTCGTGTGTGTGTGTGTGTGTGTGTGTGTGTGTGTGTGTGTGTTGTGTATTGTGTGTTGTGTGTGTGTGTGTGTGTGTGTGTAATTGTGTGTGTGTGTGTGTGTGTGTGTGTGTGTGTGTGTGTTTTTGCTTTTAGACAAAGACTGACTACATTTGTTTTGACTGCGCTACCTTTGCAAGATCGCTTCTTTGTTTAAATGTTTTTTTCTAATGTTTTAAACCTTTTCTGTTTCATCTAACGCATTGATAGCAAAATCTACTTCGCGCGAAATTTCCTTTCTGAAAATAATCTTTTCTGATAATTCGCGAAATTCTGGTCTAATAAATGTTGGCACGCGATCACTCTTGGGCGCGGAATGAATCTGCCATATAAATGAAACGTCAGTCACTTGTCGCACCAATCAATCACGACTATGTACTATATGTTATTTTATATTCGATAATGCTTACGGAGAAGTAGCGAATACCGAGATATATGGCGGTGTGAGTGCTTCCTCGGATACCAGTCGCAGCAGGGTCGCTGCTGTAACGTAAGCTGAGTTGCTACGACCAATATAGTTGTTAGCGCATCAGCACGTAGGCAGTGTAGCGACAACGTGCCCCTATGTGAAGCCCCCGCATGAGTGATGCTCTCAGGCGGCAGAAGCCCCCGCTTTATTCATGAAGGTCAAGGCGCGAATCACGTACGAGGCGGTAGCGGTCGATGTGAAGAATACTGATAATGTTGGCTGATCAGAATACCGTGACGTGTGACAGTCACGAAAACTCTCACCTGCATATACACGCGCGTGTTTGAGAAGTAAGCGCGGGAGCTACACGCTGCACGCGCGTGCGAGACATGATGGAATATGTGAAATATGGATAAACCCGCTCCAGATTATACACAATTCGGATAATACCGTATACTGTAATAACATGGTATACCTCTTGGCTCGTTTTTCGCCAATGCATCTTACGTCACGTTTGAATATGTAATATATTAAAATAGGATTAGCATTGCGGTTAAAAATGTAGGTCGTTTGATCCATATAGATGTCACTCGCAGCATGTAGCATTTAGCCTTCCTTATATACAAGTAACGCTCTTTTCTCGGCGAAAACATGCAAGCTTGTTCTGGCGAGCATTCGCACACTAAGACCTGTCAACGCTAACCTGCATAAGCTAAAGCTGTAGAGTAAACATAATCCTTGCCGAATAATCTAGTTTTGCAAAACAAGCTCGTACAAACTATGTCGAAGTTTTGCCAGCGATACTCATGATCGCTCCACAGATTCTCGCCGACACTGGTTCCGCCGTCCTCGCACGACGCGCTGGTCGAAGCTTCCCGCGTGCATTATAGAAATTTCTATGCAAATATAACGATTTCCTTCCGATAATTTATCGTGCGTTAGCGCGGGGAGGGGAGGAGGAAAGAGGAAAGGGGAGGGGAAGAGGAGGGAGGAAAGTGAAGAGGAGGGGGAGAGAGGAAAGGGGAAGGGAGGGGGAGAGAGGAAAGGGGAGGGGAGGGGGAGAGAGGAAAGGGGAGGGGATGGGATTCATCTACATCGCGTACGTTTAAGTTCACCCACCAGGTGTCGTGCCCCGCGGCGTACAGCGCGCCCTCGTGTTTTTCGCATCACCGCGAGATAGCGGGGCGAAGCTGCGTCAAGACAAAATAACGAGGAAAATATGATGAAGGAACGCCAATGAGGTTAGACGAAGGCCATCCACTGCTCGCGCCACATTGCCGCAACTACACACAGCCGAACATATGAGAAATCAAGAAAACCTGCAAATGTTATCGCAAGGGAAAAGCAAAAGGGCGTTTTTTATCGTGGAGACGTGACCCCCACCAGGCTGTAAGACTAACGTCAATACACACTTTCTTTCGTTGTATTTCGAGGTATGACCGTTTATTTGAGCTAGTGGCGAGGAAAGTTGTACTGACTGGTGTTGTAATACCCCCAACAACGTCTACGTATTTCTTTTGCCACCGACATTGCGAAGTTCGCTAGGCGGGAATCAGGTTTTGCTGTCCGGCGTAAAACCCGAACCATGGGCCATTATTTTCTGGCGCGAGGGCAAAGCTGATCTAAAAAAAAACATGCCACCAAGAAGCTAATGCGAAGAAGTAAGTGCTATAGGGTGTAGTCGACGTGTGTCTGTGTTTATGGGCACAGGTGTCGGCAGTACTCACCTCTATATGTATTTTTTATAGACTCCCGAGGGGTGCCCGCCTGAGAAAGCGTGAGATCGCTGCACCCGACCCGTCCGCGCATGCGCGAACTATCGCGGCCGTTATGGAGAAACCCGTAGATATGAATGGCAGACAATAAATCGTGTCGGTTGCCATGACCCGTATTATATCTTTTTGTCGCTAGCTTTGTTTGCAGCATCGGATTAAAACCTCTAAGGCTAGCTGACTGTACCAACAAAGCAGCCATTTACGTGGCAAGAGCAGCAGATCTTTACTTGATTTCTCGTTTCAAATTTGAAACAGGAATCGTTCTGCTCTGCTTATTCTTGGCGTGGCTACGGCGGTGCCAGTTATCCGTCTTCAACTAATCCTAGCATGTATTCCATTGTCGCGAAGTACAAGGGTAAAAGCCGTTTACATTTAGCACTTAGCTGAAGCGATGAAAAATGACTGAACGCGTCCAATATTTCGATTTACTCTGGTGGCGGGATATAGGTTTGGCAAGGATATCATTGGTTCCTGATCAGGAAGCGGGTTTTGTAAAAAAATCACGAAATAGCTAAAATCACAATTTAGCTGGTAAAATTTCGATGTACGGGGGAACGAATTCCATTCAATAAAAGCACTTTGTAAACCAAATACTGTTTCATTTCCTGGCAACATGAACACGGAGCTGCACGTATGAATTAAATTTGGCGAAGTACCACTGCTTAGCTTGCAAGTAATCGAAGAAGAGCCCATGAATAATTGTCCGATTACGTCTCTGTCTGTTCCTCGCAAATACAATAACATATCTACTTCCATTCGTGAATTCATAGCGAGCCGCAGCGTATGCCGCAGCAGCAGTCAGCACAGTCACGGGCGATGATCAAAAGCCTACGATCCTCTAGGGCTCTGCATGTGATTGTTCTGTCATCTGCCGTCTAGTATTCAACTGTAGCAAGGCCACGGCTTCCCGAGGTGTAATCCTCAACGCTATTACCGCAGCTGGACATCGACGCGTATAGCCCACTCCAAGCGCTTGATTACAGTTTCAACGCGGACAACAACGAGAGGGTGATAATTTACTACTGTTTGTTCACGGGCAGGGTAATTAAATTGAAGCAGCGCGCGCATCAAAGTGGCCGAGTACTGGTTTATACACTCGCGTTGACACAGCTTGACCTCCCGGGGATGTGCAGACAGATAGTGAGTGGATCAACGGCCATCGCGACGCTGTTGATTCAAACAGAGCACAACCTAACACGAGCAGCTGCTCTAGCTTCTGGACATCGCAGAGTTAAATATCAAAGGCTGTTTAGCGGTGAGCGGCGTCTTCGATTGAATGTAGAATTTAAACAGAAGCTGCGCTTGTGCGCTGCCGCGGGCGAGGCAGACTGCGGCGTGTAACGCAGTACGCTCGCAGACGCTCAGCGCGGTGCGTGCGTGTGTACGTGGGTGAGACCATCACGTCTACTCCTGCATGAGCATACGGACTGAGCTCGCCTATAGTCATCGGAGCGAAATTACCAGCCTATTATACGATTGTAATTGCCGTGCAAGCTCGCTGTACGATATTCAAATTTTTTTAGTTGATGAGTTTTTGAGTAAATGCATCAGTCATCAATGACGACAGATGGCAGACAATCATAATCACTGCGCTTAGTCAGATTATTGAGAGGACGGACGATGTTGTTAAGCTAATAGAAATAACCTTATGGCTCTAATATAATAGGTCTTGGTTATTTACATAATGTTAATCACTAATTGTTTGCGTAAGTACGATATTCTCAAGCAAATATCTACTGTTATTGCAGGATATCAATCATGAAATTCTGCGTAATGTACTTCCTGACTTCAGTGTTTCACTGTTGGTCCTAGTTTTAGATAACAGTTAAGAAAGCGATTCTTTTTCTTCGATTGTGTTATTTCAGTGCTTATATCGTCTCGAGGAAAGCTCGGAGGTATGTGTAAGGATCTGATCATTGGTGTGATCTCTCAGTGAGGAACACAGATTATCCCTGTGTGTCGGCTTTGAAACAAGCGTACACACGTGTTATACGCCGTTACGTGATTAGTGACCATTTGTTCCTATCGAATATAACGGGAAGCCAGTTTTAACTACGACTCTATACATGTACGGTGGAATACCGGGTTGTATTTATCAACATTTCAAGTAGCGCCCTCCAGCGGCGGTACATCGTTAGAGTGGTCAGCACGTGTGCGGTCGATCGCATCAGCTGGACACATCTTAATTGCGCATTAGGACCCGCTGGCCCTTAAGACGCAGTTAAGGTCGCTGTCGTGCACAGATTCATTGACAGCGCATCTATTTGTGCTAGCGTGGTCGATGGGCATTGCATGCGACTAGCCAGCTTCTCTCTATATGTGTACGCAGACAAACTCGATGCAACCTCGCGTAATCATAATGGTGAGATGATCAGTCGGTAATGGTGACGGCGAAGTTGCGCCCGCGTGTTAAGTGTGGAGATGCTTTTATGGCGGACGCGATCACGGCTTTGTTAGTCCCCGCCGCTACTCTCTTCCCCTTTTAGCTTTTATTCACGAATACTGCGTGACACGTCGATTCGAATGGGTCTGCTTGACAATGAAGTCATCACGGCACTGCTTAATTGTATTCGAAGAATTCGATTGGCGCGACTCGTCCGAGATTTCGTTTCATCATATATTCCGCATCCGGATTACGGCTGCGGGAAGTCTGGCGTGGTGGGGGAGTCACTGTTACAGCTATTGATCCGCGAGCCCCGATATACAGTATTCCGGCCCAACTACTTTTACAGGTTTACCACTAAACGCTTTACCGTCGTCTTCGAAGGCGCTATGGCTAATTGCTCTACGTCGTATTTTCAGAGCGGCTGCTAGGACTGACGCTTTCCGATCCTCTTCCAGTCGTCTGACGGCACGACGACGACAGCAGCAAAGATGCGCGGCGCGGCAGCACTACGTGCGAAGCTGGCCGTCAACTCGCTCTGGTCGCTCTGGTACTGCGTGCTCGTCTCCTCCATCACCGCCTACCTAGCGAAATGCAACGTGCGCGACTACGCCAAGTACCGACAGCTGTCGTGGATGCCGACGTCGGACGTCGGCGCCGCGCTGCACATGTACCTCGCGCTGACGGTGTTCGCCGTCGTCATGCTACCCTGCTTCGTCGTCGCCGCGACGCTGCTCGTCGGCAACATGGCCAACGACGGAAAGACACTGGGTAGGAACGTGAGTCTGCTGGGAGACACGCGCCGCAGCAGGGCGAGCTGGCTGTGGCGCTACACGCTGCCGCCGTCGCACGTCCTGCACGTGCTGATGGCCTTCTGTCTGCTCATGGCGAAACTCGTGATGGACGGAGAGCTCGTACACCACGGCTTCCTCAGACTCGGTGAGTAGTTCAGTGAGGACGCGTCCGTGACGTCGCCATCGCGACCACAGACTGCCGTGAGTGGGATTGACGAACCTAATAAATGAATGAATGATAATGATGATGATGATGATGATGACGACGATGATGACGACGGTGAAGGCAATGACGAAGACGATGATGTCAACGACGACGTCGACGATGAAAGCGACGATGATGGCGATAACGAAAACGACAACGACGACGATGCCAATAATAATGATGATAATGATGATGATGACGACGACGAAGACAATGACGATGACGACGACGAAGACAATGACGATGACGACGACTACGACGACGACGATGGTAATGGCGATGATGATGCCCTTAACGAAGACGACGACGACAATAACGACGACGACAACGATGATGATGATGATGACGACGATGATGATGATGATGACGACGACGGGGAAGGCGATGACGATAACGATTGCAATATTGAATTTTGCACATTCGTGACTCTGCCGCGGCACTGCGTTGTATTTTCCCGCAGTTATTCGCGTTTATGGTAACGGTTATTTCGGTGCTCTCCTCGTGCTCGCGTTCTGCTTCGCGTTCTGCAGAGATATCTGCATGGACAGCAAAAGCCTTCGCTGTTTTTGAAACCACTGTATTATGAATAGCAGCAAGCGATGCAACGGTTGAAAGAGATACTGGAGTAGTTAGAGCAACCTTAAAGGGTAGGAAGGAAGGTGACTGTTTAAAACGGAAGGTGTATTATTAGACTGCGCGTTTGAAATGTGTGGCAAACACCCAAAAAACGCTGACGAGAAAACACTCGATACATTTAGCTCAGTCGAAGTGAGTTTATAAAAATGTAGACGAGCCAATAATACCACTAAATGCTTTCCGAACAACCTTGTAGAGTCACAGAAGTAAGTCTTCTTCAATGACTAATCTTTAGAGTTAGTGAAGACTAGGCCGTTTTTATATAAATATCATTTTAACTCACAAAACACTGGATGTTAATTGCATATATCTACGTACTCAACGCAACCAGGCACGCAACCACGTATGCGCGCAAGGGCAGTCTAAAGGACGGTCGTACGAACGCATACTCCTATATACATACACATGCTCGCGTGGATACACACGCCCCCGCGTACGCACGCACACACACACACACACACACACACACACACACACACACACACAGATCTGGTGTTCACGCGCGCGCGGGTTTACGCGGGGTTAGAAAAGCACGTAGTTACGGCTTGTGTAGATGTGGTAAATGATGTACATACACACACACCCTGTAGCCCTATATATATATATATATATATATCAAATTTGGACTCGTATATGTCTTTAAAACAGTTGACGCCCACGATTCCCCAATTCATATCGAGGCCCTACCATATTTTCCTATAAAAAAGCGTGTTACAGACAAAGGTCTACGTGGGTGGCAGCGCCCCACAGCACATCCCGGTAGCTGGAAGTTGTGCAGTTGTCACAAACTGTTAGAGCAGTCTTCTCCACGCACCCGTGATACGTACTCTCAGATGTACGCTTCATTTGTTAAACCGCACGACGTGCTGCGATCGTGCTGAGCTACCCAGACGGCTCAGCAAGCTACGGCCGAGTGCAGGTCATAACCGAAATCAAATACTCGCTAGACAAGTCCCACATCCGGCCGCGCTAACACGGATCGCATGGTGGTTGCCGGCGAGTGAGACAAAGGGTCTTCGGGGGGGATTGAAAAAACCAAGATGTGGTCGGTTGCCGACTTAGTGTGTGTGTGGGGGGCGTGTGTGTGTGCGTATGTGTGCGTGTGTGCGTGTGCGTGTGCGTGTGTGGTGCGCGCGCGCGTGTGTGCATTCGTGCGTGCGTGCGTGTGTGTACGTGTATGTGTGTGCGCGCGTGTGTGCGTGCGTGCGTGCGTGCGCGCGCGTGTGTGTGAGTGTGTGCGCGCGCGCACGCGCGTGTGTGTGTGTGTGGTGTGTGTACGTGCGCGAGCGCGTGTGTCTACATCTGCGCACGGCAGCTTGTCTCCAGGGACACAGCAACTCTGCAGCTAGCCTTCAGCAGGCGGCTGCCTCGCCTCTCCGAATACCATCATGCACTATCCCGGCGCGACCGCGAAGAGCAGATCCCATTTTTTAGTGAAAATAAATCATGTTATAGCGCATCCGGCGCGTGTGTTTGTGTACGCGAAAGATCATCGGGACTTTTTTTAGTCGAGCGTTGCCTCGGCGATAATGGCAGCATTTGCGAATTTGCACATTCTAAGACGATACGGTTAGTAGACAAAAAAGAATCAAGCGTTAATTCTCGCTATGACCCCCAGCGACGTATATTACCACTAACGCACATATAAATACTGCAGAAGTCGTGGATGGATTGTTTCTAAACGTCGGTAAATAACGCGAAATGGGGTTATATTGTCGCATACGCCGAGGTAATACGATTGACATACGCAGAGTATTATACTCCGTGTAATCTCTTACAAAACGACACGGCTGCGCGATAGTTACTGTAAAACGACGAATACTCGGCTGAATCCGTGACGTAGAGAGGCTTATAGTTAATATATTAACGCTCGCGAGAGTGAATCGAATAGCAATGATGATGTCACTCAATGAAGCCATATTCCTATGGCCTCCATGTCGGCATAACCACGCGATTGCCGCAAGACACTAGGCGGGATATAATACGATAATCGCCCTGCATGGCGTAATCCAGGGCAGGCTAGCTAGGATAACCGAGCTGCCAGTTATGGGCGCATCGGAAGCGTTGGAAGCACGCGTCATTGCCACGTACGCCCCCTGTCCACGCGCGTTCTTTTGTCTGCTCAGCGCCACGCGTGCTATCTAACGTAATCGAATGTATATATTATGTGCCGTCGCCTCTCGTGAGTCTGGCTGGGCCTGCGTCTGTCGACCGCTTGCGCATAGAAAATAAACAGGCACTTCTTTTCGGCCCTAATTATTTCTCGCACAGTGTATAATAACGACCAACGAGTTGGAGTATTTATGAACTCGTTGGCTCCTAAAAACCCCACGTTGCTTTTCTTATCGAGATATTTCAACAAAGTGTGTGTGTGTGTGTGTGTGTGTGTGTGTGTGCGTATATGGTTGCTGTCAGACCGACGTCTCCACTCCTTACAGGGCGTGCCTGCATGAATATGATCCGCCTATGGTGGCATATGCTGCGCAAGTGGACCAGACCTCGCCTCGTGGCTCGCTAGCAGTAAACGTTTTATACGAGGCCGATCTAATCATATTGTAGGGCACATGTATGGCTCGCCCTCACTCCTCTCTTCTCATAGATATATGGCTGTAGGCTTGTAGCCCCAAACTATTTTATATATCGCAATAGTCTGCCGCGAAAACATTCTTATAATATTTATATGGCTGTAAACTGGTATGCAGATGACGACGGTCAGAGGTCACGCTTGTATTTTCCTAGGGGCGTATGATGAGATATTTTGTCTATAAATATTGTCTGCCGCGTGCATGAGAGAGAGACGAGCGGAATTCGTGCTCGTCGTGTCCTCAGGCAGCGGTCAGCCAGATGACTGTCCAGATGGCTCAGCAGTAAGTCCACACACACACAAACACACACACACACACGCGCGCGCTCGCGCACACACGCACACACACACAAACACGCGCACGCACATACACACACACACACAAGCCACACACATACACGCACGCTACGCACGCACGCCACGGGCATGCACAGCCCACACACAACAAACACAGGCATACCGCACGCACGCACGCACGCAGCGCACGCACGCACACGCCAACCACACACACACACACACACACACACACACAGCACACACACACACACACATACAGCACACACACACAACACACACCACAAACACACACACACACCACAGGCTACACACACACACACACACACACACACACACACGAGCATGCGTCAATGATGGGAGGATGGGAGACTACGCCGTTACATAAATAACCGGAAGGATATTCTTGGTTAGGATCCCGACGAGGAGGGGCGCTATATATCATCTCTAGCATTAAATTCGCCGTTGCAGCGATCGTAAAATCCATGCACGGGGCCCGCAGTTGGGTTTCAGAATACTGATTACTCTCATACGAACGCGACGAGGCGGGATCGGAGACGGCCGACGTGCCATGACGAGCGTTCGCCACTACTGTGACCGCTATAAAAAAAAATCACTGTCGTTCTTCAACGATTTGCTTTACGTCACCGGTTATTATGGCGTTGATATTGCGTTGGTTGTTGGCTACATGGCTGTTTCGAAACTGCTGCTCCAAATCGCCATTTATCTGCGGGCAACGCAAACACCGCGAGCTCGCCCGCTTCTCGAGTTTTCTCGTGATTGAAGCCATTAAAACTAGTTTATTTCTGCCCGCTCCGAGCTGGGGAATTTCGCTGGATTTCAAAATACCAGCGGTGCAAAATGTGCTCAAAATTAGCCGGTTTTTCTGTTGCTTTAAGCAACGAAGGAAGTGCAACGAGTTTGCGCAGACTCGTGCATTTTCCATTTCCTGGCTTGTTGTCGGACAAAATTGGGAGTGTATGTTATTCAATACTATTTACTTCAGCGTTTTCTATTTTCAGCAAATCGCATCTAATCGTTTGCAAGTTGCTTGCCTATTTGAGGTGTTTGTCTTATATACTAATGAAAGAGTTGCCCGTTTTAGAGGTTATATTGCATTAATTGGCTGTGATACCGTATATTGGCAATTATGATTGCCATATCATAATTGAGACTTTCATGTATATTCTATGGAACCAGTCATGCATACAGCATCGCCAAAATTTGCATGGAGAAACTACAATGTTTATGACCTCCGACAACGTTGAAATGCTTGAGTTATTGCCCTAGTAAACGGACGAATCATCGATATATGAAAACTATGTCTGATAACCGAAGGGACATCTAATGTAGCAATAATTAATGTAATTTCATGTAAATTAATAAAAAATAATGTAATTTCTTGGCAATGCTCATACACATAGCG